GAAAATAACTGTAGATGTTAAAAATTTGCCAACAGAGAATTTTTTTGTAAAAACTGAAAAAAAAAATGGAAAATATCTAAATGTTTAAAAATAAAGGCACTGTTAAATGAACAAATGAAAATATGTAAACATTAGTATGTATCAAAATAGTTAACATTTAAAAAACTGAAGAAAAGGCCAGGGAGCAGTGGCTCACACCTGTAATCAACGCACTCTAGGAGGCCAAGGAGGATTGAGTGCTTGATATCAGGAGTTCAAGAATAACCTGAGCAGGGTGGCACCTGTGGCCCAGCGCGTAGGGTGATGGCCCCATATACTGAGGGTGGCGGGTTCCAACACAGCCCAGCCACACTACAACAAAAAAATAACTGGGCATTCTGGCAGGTACTTATAGTCCCTGCTACTCAAGAGGCTGAGGCAAGAGAATCGCCTAAGCCCAGGAGGTTGGAGGTTGCTGTGAGCTGTGATACCACATCACTCTACCAAAAGCACTAAAGTGAGACTCTGTCTCTTAAAAAAATAGAAAAATAAAAAATAACCTGAGCAACTAAAAATAGAAGAAAAAAATAGCCAGGTATAGTGGTGCATGCCTGTAGTGCCAGCTACTTGGCAGGCAGAGACAAGAGGACTGCTTGAGCCCACGAGTTTGAGGTTGCTTTGCACCATAATGATGCCATGGCTCTCTACCCAGGGCAACAAAGCAAGACTTTGTCTTGGAAAAAAAACAAAAGAAATCAAAATAAAAACCCAGAAGAATATAGAAACTAGAAAATCTCAACTTTGTCGAGTATTTTTAATTAAGTAACCATACATGGCTTAAAGGAAATATATCAAATGTTAACATAGATTAACTCTGGTTTGCAGTATTATGGATTATACTACTTTTTCATCATACTTTATTATATTCTTTTCTAAATTCCCCCAATGGTTATGGCTTTTTGCAAGAAAAGACAGTCTTAAATAAGAAAAGAATAAGACTGTTACTAAGACCACCCACTTGATAAAAATCTTGAGGATTCATCTGTTTAACACAGTCTTAATTATTCTTATTTCTTAGCCCACAACTT